GCGCTCCTGCCTGCCCGCTGGCGCAGCCCCGCTGGCCGCCGCCGCGCTCGCTGCGAGCGCGGTGCAGCCGTGGGGGCCCGTCGGTCGAAGGCGATCTTCGTCGTTGTCGTCGCCGTAGTCGTCCTCGTCCTCGTCCTCGTCCGCGTCGAGGTGGTGGCTGTCATCGCCGGAGGGAGGAGGAGGAAGGGGGTGAGGAGAGAGGATGATGGGGGGGTGGATGGGGAAGAGGGAGAATGGGCAGGAGGGAGGATGGAGGTGGATGAGGGAGGATGGAGGAGGAGTAGGAGGGATGAGGAGGAGGGAGGAGGAGGAGGAGGAGGAGGAGGAGGAGGAGGAGGAGGAAAGGAAGAGGTAGGAGGAGGAGGGGGGGGAGGAGGGATGGAGGTGGGGTTGGTATGGGGGGTTAGGGGATGTGGGGGGGGGCGGTGTGGAGGGCGCGGGTATGAGTAGGGGGGTGGGTGGTGGGGTAGGGCATAGGTGCGGGGGAGGGGGTGTGGGGGTGTTGGGGGGGGGTGATTGGGGGGGTGGAGTTTCGGAGGGGTGTGGTGGAGGGGTTTGGGGAGACTCGCGGGAGGCTGGGATGATTGGGGGGGGGGGGCTAAGCTTCCCGGGGGGGATCGTTGCTTCGTGTTTTTGTGAGTGGGGGTTGTGGATGGGTGTAGGGGGGAGGAGGAGGTGGAGGAGGAGGAGGAGGAGAGGAGGAGGAGGAGGAGGAGGAGAGGAGGGAGAGGGAGGAGGTGGATGAGGAAGAGGAGGAGGAGGCGGAGAAGGATGCAGGAGTAGGGGCGGAGGAGGTGGAGGAGGAGGAGGGTGGAGGAGGGAGGCAGGAGGAGCAGAAGGAGGGGGAGGAGGAGGAGGAGCAGCAGAAGGAGGATGAGGAGGAGGAGGAGGAGGAGGAGGAGGAGGAGGAGGAGGGGCAGCAGAATGAGGAGGAGGAGGAGGAGGAGGAGGAGGAGGAGGAGGAAGAGCAGGAGTAGGTGGAGGAGGAATATGCATCGGAAGGGATGAAGATAAGGGGGAGGCGGAAGAGGAGGAGAAGTATACGGAGGAGTGGGGAGCGGTCCAGGTCCCAGGGTTGTTTCTCATGGGCTTCTTGACATCCTGAGCCGTTCTCGTCGCCACTGCTGGATCCGCAGTGGCATATGAGAAATAACGCAACCCACGAGGTTCAGGGGTTGACTTTTCTGGAATCCCGGATCGAGAGTCGAGGATGGAGGTTCGGACTGCTTTTGGTAGTGTTGTGATAGTAAGCGTGTCAAGCGTGTTTTCTTGTTGAGGTGGGGAGATTGGGAGGTAAGCGTGTCCATAGTCGGCGAGTTTTTTCTCGGGCATATTCTGTTAACCTGAAGCGTGAATCTCCACAGGTTGAGCAGCACATGTCATCCTCTGGGGGCGGATAACAACTAGGGCGGAACCAGATGAATGTTTGCGCTGCAGATGAATGTTTGCGCAGCGCAGATATGCGTCCTTCTAACCTTGCTTGGAGGGGCCATGGAGGCTGAGGAGGAGGAGAGGGGAAACAGAGGCGGAGGTGGCTGGTGAGTGCGAGGGCTGCGCGCCAGCGAGGCAACCGAGAACGTGCGTCGGTCGGCATGCAATTGCAACTGGCGGCGGCGGGGCGGGGCGCCTGGAGGCCCCCGCAGGCCTCTGGAGGCCCAGACAGGGTCCGAACCAGTGCCTTCCTCGTGCTCGTCCTCGTCGTCGTCCTCGTCGTCGTCGTCGTCGTCGCCGTCGCCGTCGCCGTCGCCGTCGCCGTCGCCGTCGCCGTCGCCGTCGTCGTCGTCGACTTCGTCGTCGTCGCCGTCTCGGAACATCCGGCATCCTACGCTGTGCGAGTTCGGCAAGGGACGTTCGTCGCGCTGGGCTGCGTCACCTCTGTGCTGTGGCACGCCATGCTGTTTCACGCCTGGCCGCGCCCGCTGGGCGGGCCCCACTCCGCCGTAGCGACGGCGCCTGTTTCCCTGACCTCTGACTCATGCCAGAGCCCAGTCCCCGAGAGGAAACACATCCGACATCGTCGGCCGTTGCTGTCTTCTATCCAGCGCGTGGTCAGGACACGTGGTTTCAATCCGACGATTGTTTAAGAAGGTGGTTTGACAATACATGGCGTGGGAGTGTGGCTCAAGAAGGGGCGTGGAGGCGGAGATCGAGAAGGTCGACGTTCTCTTCCGCGCCACGGCGCAGTCCTCCCCAGCCCCGCCGGGGCCGCACCGCGCAGGGGCATCCGCGTCCGCACTCGTGTCCGTATCCAGCGCGTGGGCCCCGGGCCCCTCGACCTCCCCGCCAAGGAGTATTGTTGCTCCTCCCCCGACCGCTCACCGGCGGCCCCGGGGGCGGAAGCCAGGCCAGGGAGGCCGAGACTCCGGAAGGGCAGCACGGCTGGATCTGATCGCGGTGGGATCTGTGCTTTCGCAGAGGGGGCGAGGGCTCCGCGGGTCCCCGCGGGGCCTCCCGGCGTCCCCCGGAGGCCTCCGAGAGGGGAGGTCTCCGCGGGTCCCCACGCGGGGCCTCCAGGCGCGTCTCTCGGAGGCCTCCGAGAGGGGGCCGTCCATGGTGCGCAGAGAGCGGGCCACGAGAGGCGGAGGCAGGAGCCGCCTCGCCCGCCGGCGTGCGCACCGCAGCCGCCAGGCCCCAGTAGTTAGGATGATTATGCCTCATGCAAAAAAACATTCAAAAACATCAAAATCTGTTCCAAAAATGTTTCCGCGTTTTCCAAAACACTTTTTGCGTTTTCCAAAAACGTTTTGTCGTTTTCCAACCATGTTTTCTGTGTTTCCCAAACATGTTCTTCGTTTTCCCAAACAGTAATGCAGAGGAGCGGAGTATCCTGCCCCGCCCCCGCCCCGCCCCTCCCCCGTCCAGCATTCCAAAAAACGTTTCCGACACGACAGGCGTCACGTCGTCACGCCGTCCGCAGGCGTCCAGGGCAGACGCAACTCACATACATCGGTCGAGTTCACATCGTAAGCCACCCGTGAACAACATGCACCAGTAACGTACAGCCATACCGTACCCTCATTAACTATGCTCTAGGACGTACGTCGAGAGCGCGCATCAGTTACAAACAGCATAACGTTTACTACATACACCCGTACACGACACCGTTAGCACACATCCGGAAATCACATCCAGAACATATGTGATTCACAGGTGCCAGTAGTACACATCAAGAGTTGTCTGCAAGGCTAGACAACATTGTCAATCTTCATTCGCATTTTTCGGTAACACATATCCAGGTCAGGGACCACGCGCAGCCAGTAAGGTCATACACCAAGAACAAGCATCGCCCGCAGGTGACAATGGCATGTACCACTGGTATGCACCGCAAACATCAGCAGCATGCGCAAATCCATTATACAGTAACGTGTTATACTAGCAATCCTCAAGCTAAAACACCAGTCGCAGTCAATCTGAACACCAACTTAGATCAGACAGCACTAGAGCACCAATCGCGCGCATATGTAAGGACATCCTGAGGACAGCAAGACACACATAGACACACAGACACTCACACACGCACACACACACACGCATCAATCGCATACCCCAAGGCCATGCTCACTCTACGCAACGTGCGGGCATGTCAGACGTAACGAGCTTACTATCCAACAGAGTCGCACATGCGCCTGACGCAAATAACGTGATAGCCGCTCAAACATACTGGACATTCGACGGCCATACAATCATGTAATACTGTATGTCGTAGGGTCACACGCGGTAGACCTCGCAACCATTTGTAGTAGCTCCATGGTGGGGATCGCCAGAAGTAATAGATTCGCTGTGTCCGCGGATCCCAGAGGTTTCGAGCCTTCCCCCCCGGGGCATTCTTGGTCCCAGATCATTTGTTTGATCGGCCCGGGGCCTGAGAACGGTCTCCAAAGCTCGGACTCAAGGAGCGTTTGCAAGTGTCGAGCATCATCGTAGCCGTCGTCGCGAGGCTTCCTCCGCGGTCCGAAGCGCGACTCGGCGGCGAGCCCAGGAGGGACAAGCAGAGATGGCGTGTCTCCTCTCAGGCCTTCCGACACGCTTTTCAGAGGGCTTCTCTCAGCACCCCGGAGGGCTTCTGAGGAGGCGGGCGGCGACGAGGAGAGGGCTGGTGGCGACAGGGATGGAACGGACGAAAGTGGGAGGAAGGGGGAGGGAGGGAGGGAGGGAGGGAGGGAAGGAGGGAGGGAGGAGGAAGAGGAGGAGGAGGAGGAGGAGGAGGAGGAGGAGGAGGAGGAGGCAGGGGTTGGTGGAGGAGGAGGAGGAGGCGGAGGGGAGAGGAGGAGTAGGGGGAGTCCCCGTCTAGAAGGAGAGGAGGAGGAGGAGGAGGAGGAGGAGGAGGAGGAGGAGGAGGCGGGGGAGGGGGAGGAGGAGGAGGAGGAGGAGGAGGAGGGAGGAGGAGGAGGAGGAGGAGGAGGAGGAGGAGGAGGAGGAGGAGGTGGAGGAGGAGCTGTTAGGAGGAGGAGGAGGAGGAGGAGGTGGAGGAGGAGGAAGGAGGAGGAGGAGGAGGGAGGAGAGGAGGAGGAGGAGGAGGAGGAGGAGAGGGAAGAGCTGCGAGGGGAGAGGTGGAGGAGGAGCAGGGGGAGGAGGAGGTTTAGGAGAGGAGGAGGAGGAGGAGGAGGACGGAGGAGGGAGGAGGAGAAGGCCTTCCCTCTCGGCGCCGCGCCGCCGAGCGACAAGCCCCGCGAGGCAGCCCGCCGCCTTCGCGGCCGCCCGGGCGGAGCGCGCCGCGCTGCCCGCCCGGCACGGGAGACGCCCGACATGGGCGCCTCGGCCGTGCCGCGGGGCGGCCGCTTCCGCTGCCACGGCGGGGGGGGCGCGGCCGCCGGGGCGCAGCCGAGGAGGAGGAGGAGGAGGAGAGGAGGAGGAGGATGGAGGAGGAGGAGGAGCAGGGGAGGAGAGGGAGGAGGAGGAGGAGGAGGTAGGTTGAGGAGGAGGAGGAGGAGGGGAGGAGAGGAGGAGAGTGGAGGGGAGGAGGAGCCAGGAGGAGAGGAGAGGTGGAGGAGGAGGAGGAGGAGGAGGAGGAGAGGGGAGAGAGGAAGAGCTGGGGAGGAGGAGGAGGAGGAGGAGGAGGAGGAGGAGGAGGATCATTCCCCCCAAAACAGACACAGAACACGAACAACGGCAATCCCCCGCCAAGTTAGTTTTTGTTTTTGTTGGCGGCCGGCGGGCCCAGCATGTGGGGCGCTCCAGAGAGGGCGTCGCTGTCGAGGGCCAGAGGAGCTGACATGCAGAGAAGGACGAGGTACCCACATCTCCACCCTTCGCCCGTCGCTTCCGCTGGATTCGCCTCGAAATCCGAGTCAGAACGCACCCCAGGAGAGGTCCGGGGAGTAGCGGTATCGGTATCTGTTGGTTTCCCCAGACATCTCCTCCTCGGCGGGGCAGGCGGCGGACTCGCAGAGCGGGGGCGATCTTCGCTGGTGGAGGCGGCGGCGGGAGGCGGCGGAAGCAGAGCCGGAGCCCCCAGCAGATGCTGCCTTTTCGGGGGGGGGGTGCTGAGTTGCGGGGGCCGCCGCTTGGAGAGGGTGCGCCTCGCGGTTGGTTGGGCGGCATGCAGGAGCACCATCAGCGGCACACGCGCCTCCGTGGGAGGCCCATGCGCGAACCTGTGTGTGTGTGTGTGTGTGTGTTTGTGTGTGTGTGTTTGTGTGTGTGTGTGTGTGTGTGTGTGTGTGTGTGTGTGTGTGTGTGTGTGTGTGTGTGTGTGTGTGTGTGTGTGTGTGTGTGTGTGTGTGTCGCGGCGCAGGCGCACGCGCGGAGCAGGAGAGCCGAGGCCGGGATGCAGAGCGGCGAAGGGCCACCGCAGCTGGGGGGAGGGCAGGGGCGGCCGCGGAGGAGGGCTTTCGGGCAGGCGCAGCGCTCAGGCCATGTAGGTCGTCACGCCAATTACACAAAGGAAAAGCCAAGTACATGTAGCGGGCATGTAGCGCTCAGGGCCGTGTAGCGCTCAGGGCCGTGCAGCGGTCCAGGACAAAAGCCAATTACACAAAGGAAAAGCCCAATCAGTGGGTGGTTTGACATGGTCGACTAGACAGAGTGACCTTTCGCCGGAGTGACCTCTGGTGCGGGCAGAGATGAGTCCGCAGGTGGCTGAAAACGAAGCAGTAGCAGCTGGTTGCGCGCCCAGGTTTGGCCCCCCGCGGCCCCCAAAAAGCCGCGCACCAAAGGTCACTCTTACCCAGGGTCACTCTTGCGCATAGCCAACATGGGATCGATAAAGAGATCGATAAGGAGATCGATCGGGAACCCGGGAACCCGGAACCCACCGAAATCGGCCCGAAACCTAACCCTAGAAGACAAGACATCGTAACCAAATCACGCGCCCAAAGTATTGTAATTTACAATGGTTTGTTGCGTGCACGTGCGTAACCAAATCGGCTTCTTATTGAGGCAAGTTCGTATGAGAGGGGTGCATTGTTTTGATTTGGTTGCGCGGAATTTGATTACGAAGTGTGATTTGGTTATGCTTTGGTTATGAAAACATTAAATTTGGTTACGAATTGTTTACAATTTGGTTACGCCTTGGTTACGTTTCCATATGGTTACGATTTGGTTACGATTCGGTTACGATTTGGCTAAACGCGGTCCGTCGTGGCCCATGGCTTGACCAGCCCATGGCCCATCCCTGGTGGAGCCTATCCCTTGTGGGCCTGTCCGTACGCACACCGTCTTACATCGTGATTCCCTCCTTCCTCCCTCCGAACCTCTCCGATGTCTCGCCGCCCCTACCCCGTGCCAGAGCCCTCTCGTCAAACATTGATCCGAGCTTGTCCCCACGGGTCTAACACCCACCCAAACAGAGCCCTCCATCATATCTCATGCCTCTTCCGTGCAGACCCCCCGCTTAAGTCGCCTCTTTGAAATCCACACTCCTCATATTCTTCCTTCTCCCCCCTAGCACCGCCAAGTTTCAATCATGTATCCCCGCACCTAGTCGTTCTTCAGAGCCTCCCTCTCCAAGCTGCCTCCTCCCCTCCAAGCCTCCTCCTGCCCTGCCATTCCTGTGAGACTTCCTGCAAGCCTCATTCTGTCCCCCGTCTGTTTCGGCCTCTCTCAAATTCTTCTTCCAAGCCTCCTCCCTCTGATCTTCAAACCCCGCGTCGAACCATCAATGCGTCAACATTACTCCTGAGCCGTCGTGCTCTCACCGTGCTTCCGTCCTCCTTCTCTTCCTCCTTCTCCTCCTCCTCCTCCTCCTCCTATTCCTCCTCCTCCTTCTCTACCAGCTTGGCAGACTCCCCCCTGCTCCGCCCGTCCCCATCTTCAGCCCCATCGGCAATGTCGAACATGGTCGTTTCGATATACTTACGGTTTGGTTATGGTTTGGTTATGATTTGGTTACGATTTGGTTATGATTTGGTTACGATTTATGCAATTGGGTTGTTATTTGGTTACGAAAATTGAAAATATGGTTACGATTTGGTTATGCGAACATCTTCCCGGGAAGATTTTGGTTACGGGGGTGTTGAATGCTTTTTGATGGCTCAAGTGTGTGAGGGGTCGATCGTAACCAAATTCTTCGCGTTCTGGTTGCGCGCAACAGTTTCGAGCGTAACCATATGATTTGGTTACGTACACTAGGGAACCCTAACCAGGAACCCGGGAACCCGGAGCCGGGAACCCGTGGAACCAGCCGGCCACCAAACTCGGCGGGGAATTGTCGCCAAATTTTTCAGCTAGGACCCCTTCAGTGCAAGCACTGATTGGGACATGAGTAACACGCTGCGGGGGTTCCAGGTTGAGCGCCGTCGGGGGGGGGCAGAGTTGACAGCAGACACTGGGCGTCTGAGCTGTCGGAAGGCCAGGTTCGCCGCGGCCGCTGAAGGTTGAACGATCCACGCGGTGTCATCGGCGGCGAGCGCGGGGGGGGAGTGAGAAGGAGAAGGCCTTCTCGGAAGGCGGCGGGGCTTCTCAGAAGTCCTCGCGCCTCCCGACCGGCTTTCCGTGTCTTCGGGGAAGGCTTAGAAAATTTCTTCGAGTGGGAAGGCAAATGCCTTCTCAGAAGGTGGCGGGGTTTCTCAGAAGTCCTCGCGCCTTCCGAGAGGCTTTCTAATTATGCCGTCGGGGAAGGCTTTAGAAACTGTTCAGAAGGCTAGGGGAGCCTTAGCATGGGCCGCCGAGGCCCCTGCACCCTTACCGCGCATCCATGCTATATGGATAAACTCGCCAGTCGTTGAAAGTAGGCATTCTTGGATTCCCAGATCCCAATCTACTTCAAGCTCCTCCCTACTCCCTACTTCAAGAATCGATGTGCTTGTACTGTGTTTTGTTATTCTTTGGGATGGCCCAAACCCTGATTACTTGATCCGCCTTCTTGCTTCATGTTTTTACCTACATGTTCCGACCGACGTGTAGTGGAGGTGCGGAAACATGAAGGGGCAGCGAGGGCTGCAGAAAAAGACCTCTTGCGCCCCCAAAGGGGGGCCCTTGGGAGCCCAAAGGGGGCCCTGAAGGCCCGTGAAGTGCCCATGTTCCCCCTCTTGTGTCGCCCCCCATCAAGTGACGCTCAAGGTGGCGGAAGCAGGACGTCAACACTGTTGCGTCCAGGGTGGCCTGAGGGTGCCCGGAGTCGGCCACCTGTAGCAGCCAGGGGCAACGTTAATTAGGGGGTGATGTCGGCCACGCGCAGGGGGGGTAGGGGGGGAGGGAGAGGGGCAGGCTCCTTAGACGCACCCCTGCTTCTCAGAAGGCGCGGGCCTTATCTACAGATGTACGTCCGGCGCGTTCTAAGAGGCAGCCTGCTTCTAAGAAGCCCTTCCCCCTCCCCCTGCCCCCTTCTGCGCGCCGCTAAGGATAGGCTCAGGGGGGGATGCATCGACCCCCGATCACCCACTCGTCGCCGGCAGGGCCCCGACAGTCCGCCGCCCCGCCAAGGAACGTGCGGCTGCGCTATAGGGGGCCATCGCGGATCTACCAGCTATGTAGCACCGATATCAGGTCAATGTTTCCCCGCTGAGTTGTCCCCCCCCTTTTGTGCCCCGGAAACGGCAGGGCCGTTCTTTCACCGTTTTCGAACAAGTGCCCCTTGAAAACGGACGGCAAGAACACGGTAACTGGACACGGCCACAAAACGTTTCTGGAATAGGAATCAGAATGTGAACCCGCAAACAAACGGCGACTGAGTCGGACTAAAAACTTCGGCGGAGCCGGCAAGACAACAGCAGAACGGAACCCGTAAAACAATTGCCTTGTCGTCTCCATGGCTCACTGAGGTCCCCCTATCTCGAAGAGGAAAAAACACCATACACATAATGTTTTGGCGCTGCACGCGGATCTCTTGGATCCGCGCCTGGGCCCCCCCCCGGCGGCGCCTCTGGCGCAGATCCAAGAAGTCCGCGCGGAGCGCCACAAGCTCATGCTTATGTCGTTTTGTCGTCTTCGACTAAGCGTTGCCCTCAGCCTCGCCGTCCCCCCTCAGCCGTAGCAAAAACGGCCCTGTCGCTCCCCCCCTCAGCCCTGTCGCCCCCCCGCAACAGAAACGGCCTTGCCGCTCCCCCTCAGCCTGCCACTGCGATCCGCGGGTGGAGGCGTGGCCCTTTTTCCTCTCCCTTCCTCCCCCCTTGGCGCAATGGCGCCCTGCGGGGGCCCATCCACGAACTGGACCCACCACTCGGGAGTCATCCCTTGGGGTGGGCGCTATGGTTTGCCCCCGGCCACTTGTGGCAGGCAGCCCGGGCCGCGCCCCACGCAGTCCAGCGCGCAGTCCAGCGCGAAGGGCAGGGCGGAGGTGGAGGAGGAGGAGGAGGAGGAGGAGGAGGAGGAGGAGGAGGAGGAGGAGGAGGAGGAGGAGGAGGAGGGGGAGGAGGAGGAGGAGGAGGAGGAGGAGGGAGGGGGGGAGGGGGGGAGGATGGGGGAGGAGGAGGAGGAGGGAGGGGAGGAGAGGAGAGGAGGAGGAGGAGGAGGAGGAGGAGGAGAGGAGAGGAGGAGAGGGAGGAGGAGGAGGAGGAGGAGGAGGAGGAGGAGGAGGAGGAGGAGGAGGAGGAGGAGGAGGAGGAGGAGGAGGAGGAGGAGGAGGAGGAGGAAGAGGGGGATCACCCCTTGCCACACTGGAGGCCCCAGGAACAACAAAAGTAACACCAAAACGCGGCTCGGGCCGGCTCGCGCGGACTTCTTTGGCATGCGCCGTGTGGCCTGGCTGGCCTGGGAGCAAAGGACCTCTGCGAAGGAATGTATCACGTAGTGGCAAAGCGTCTTGGCTAGCCCATAGACCAACCAAATAATGTTCTAAGAACCTTTGTGGTTTCAGCGAAATGTTCTTAGAACATTTGTGGCTGGGACTGTCTTGGTTCAACACATCGGGCTTATGCTTACGTTCTAAGAACATTGTTTTGGATCTTAGAACATGTTGGGGTTCTAAGGACATTTCGCGGTAGGACTATAGGAATGCCGGGTCGGCCCCTGCTCAAACGTAGCGCATCAGCGCCATCATCCCACGCATTTGGATGCTGAGGCGTCAATACGCCAAGCTCCTCGGCCGACCAGACGGCTTGGTGTACTTCGGGCCCGTTCCAGAAGGGAGGCGGGAGTCGAAAAAGACATCACATGCGCAATGCTGGGATTTTCGAAGGCCCGCACGGATGCCTCGGGTTGGCACTGGACCTCCTGGCGGCGCCTCAGGCGCCGCCCCTGGGACGCTCCACGCGCCATAGAGGGGGAGGGGGACACGCAGGGCCGATGCAGGAATCCCGTGCGGCGTTCCGACAGTTTGTGCTTGAGCAGTAGTCTTCTCTTGTTCTGGTGAGGAGGGAGGATCGAGGATCGGGAGTGCATCCCCAGCGGGCTGCCCCTGGCTCTTCTCTCCGTAGGCCCTTTCGAGGGCCAGGCCGTGCTGCTTGCACCGTGGAACCACGGGATTACGGGGGGCGAAGATTGAGTTTTTGTTGCTGACATTTTTTCGGGCTCTTGGGGGCCTCCCGCGGCGTTTTTATTAATTTTTTTGTTTTGGGGGGATGCGGGGGTCCGGCGATCAGAGCACCCGACCTTCTGATCCAATCATGACAAAGTATCGAGGCTCACTGAGATTGGGAGTCGCCCGGGGAGTTCTTCGGGGTGCCATTCCCCTACGCCTTTCTTTCTCTTATCCAAGAATCGCGCTGGAAGCACAGTAGCAACGTATCGAGACGGCAGTTCTGTCCCACATGGCCCCGCCCCGTTTTTGGCCCAGCAGCCCTCATGGAAAGTGTCGAGAGTCTTTGGTAGCCCATCTCACGAACAAGTATCACGACCTCCGCACGGGGTGCGGAGGAACGTGACGGCGCGGCTTCCAGACCCATGCGACGCATTGATCTCCAGGTCCGTGGCTTCCGCGCGGCGGCGTCGTGATCCTGCGCGGCAGGCGATCAGATTCACAGCGCGAATGGATACTCTACAACACGTCTTCGACGTCTTTTTATCCAGGGGGCCCTAGACTTCGTGAGCCCAACTTCCGTTTTCGAATAGGCGATGCTACTCCTGGCCCTTGTACCCGTCCTTGCGCGAGGGGGGTCGAGAGAAATACACACTTTCATCGTGGAATGGGCAGACTTTGACTTGGCCGATGTGCTGGCTCTGGCCGGGATTCCCTGCAGCAGCACTGTAGGCTTGGCGCGCGAGCCTGGTAGCTGACTGTGTCGCAGTATACTTCGGCCTCGAGCAAAGCAACACGTGTCGTGTACAGCATCAGTGGCACTAAGACAGGCGCACGGTGTCGCATCAGTTGGATTCAAGTCAAGATGCAGCGCTCAACAAGCAGGCTGGTGGATCATTTTCTTGGCGTCTGTTGGCGCTCGTCGCCGACGGTTTTCTGAGAACGAGGGATGTCATGCCCTCAACTTGTTCACTGCAGTCTGTGCAGCAGAGGTTGGGCGCCGGGAGGGCGTTGATCTCCAGCATCGCGTCCTCAGAAGAGCCGGAGAAGGAGGCGCGCCAGCGGGTGCAGCTAGTCACGAGGACGGCGACGGAGGCGACGACGATGGGAATGATGACGAGGGCTGAACGCACGCATTGCGTCCTCAGACGGTCTGACCAAACAGGCTCGTTGGCGGCTGCGGCTTGTCAGCCCCGCTCTGCCTCTGTCCCTCCTGCCTCTCGCGTGCTGCCCGGGGCCCTACATCCTCCTAGATCGTGCCCTCTCCATGGTGGCTGGTGCCCCCTCTTTCTGTCTGTCTGTTCCTCTCTCTCGCTCTCTTTCTCTCTCTCTCTCTTTCCCTCTCTCTCTCTCTACTCCGTACTTCTTCTACCCTCTCAACTCGCTCTGCCTTCTACTCTCTTACATCGAGCATCTCTCCTTTTTTGTTGTTCTCTCTCTCTCTCTCTTTCTCTCTTTCTTTCTATATGATCTCTCTTTGTCTCCCTTTCTGTCTCTCTCTCTATTTCTCCCCCTCTCTCTTTGCTCAAGTCGGGTCTCTACCATGAATGCACTTTTCATTTTCTACGATCTGTTCTCTTATTCTGATTATGGTCGCAAGGGCCCATGTACGTGGCCGAAACCACGAAAACGAAGACCCGGGAACTTTGCAGTGTCGGGAACTCCGGACCTGGAATTGGAAACCCGTGGACCTGGCCGCCCGCCGTAATCGACCCGAAACCCAGAACTTGGAATCTGGGAACCCGGCCGCCTACTGACATCGGGCTTGCATGCACCTTCCCTTGTTTCAGTCTCCGCTCTGACCCCTTTCAGTGCATTTGCATTTACCGGGGAATACGTAGCATATAAATGTAACATGGGGGGACAAGAGAGAGAGAATGAGAGAAAGAGAAAGAGAGAGACATATACAATATATCTATATATAGAGAGGGAGGGATAGAGAGAGAGAGAGAGAAAGACACACAGACAGAGAGGGATCTAGGCGTATATATCTTTACATCCAGAGAGAGAGAGGGAGTGAAACAGAAGACCGTGAGACAGAGAGAGAGGGAGAAAGAGAGAGAGAGATATTCACATACACGCATATGTATACATCGATGTAGATGCACATTAAAAATATCGCGGGGCGGCGTGGTGATGATGATGATCATGATGACGACGACGAGGACGAGGACGAGGAGGAGGCGGAGGAGGAGGGGCGAGGGGCAACGTGGGGAGGAGAAGGAGGAGGCGTAATTCGTACAATTCCTCTTCCGCATCTCCAGAGCTCCTTCTTCTTCTCTCGTCTCCTCGTCATCCTTCTCCCGCTCTTTTATCATCATCCCCCCAGCCCTCGTCGTGCAGCTCCTTCGTTCTCTTCCTGGCTCCCCTTCCTGTTTCACCTCATCTTTACTCATCCTTTCTGCCTCCTCCCTGCCCGTTCCTCCTCCCCTTCCCCTCCTCTCTTTCCTTGTCTCCATTTTCCCTTCTCCTCATCCTTCTCTCCTGCTCTTCTCAGCCTCGTTCCCTCTTCTCGTTCTCTTATTTCTGCCCCCTCCATCCCTTTTCCCCTCGCCTTCCACCTGCTCCTTCCCCCGGCCTTATATTCCGCCTTCTCCATCCTCCATGCCCCTTATCCATCCCCTCTACGTACCTTCCCCTCTCCGTGCGTTAGTGTCCTCTGCCTCCTCTTGTTCATCCTTCTCGTCCTCCCTCCCCCATTGTCTTCTCGCCGCCCTCAAATGTAGCCCTCCGCCTCCTGACGTATTGCCATCCTTCTAACCCTTTTGTCAGGGTTTTCTTTTCTTGTTTCCCCCTATCAGTGCTTGCCATGAGTGGTTATTGTTTCTCTTAACCATCTGGGGAACAGTGTTGGCTTTTCGTCGCCGTGCCGCCCGTCGCCGTCCGTCGCCGCTTTGCGTTGCTTGGCTTTGCTTCACTTCAGTTTGCTGTGCGTTAACTTGCTTTGTTCTGCGTTACTTTAACGCTGCTTTGCTTTGCACTCGAACAGCATGTACTGCACCACCTAGATTGCACAGCGTGTGTTGCAGCTCATGAGGTGCTCCACGTACTATGCCCCGCAACGGTTACACCGCATGCATGCTACAGGCGCATTATCTGGGGCCCACGCTGGCTAAGATGTATTTCCCATCCTGTGTTCCCCGTTCTCCCCCCCCCTCCTCCTCCTTGCTCCTCCTCATCGTCGTCCTTTGTCATCCCTCATCCTCCCTTCCCATTCTCTCTTCCTCCCTTTGCCTCGCCCTTCCGTCTCCTCCTCCTTCTCGTCCTCCTCCCGGTAAGTCTTGCTGCCGCCCTTTTTCGAGCAAAACACGATCGACAATTTTTGCCCCCTCCAGCCTCGAGGGCAACATTTGGCACGTCCTCCCCCTCTCCTCCTCCTCCTCCTTCTCTTCCTCCTCCTCCTCGTCCTCCTCCTCCTCCTCCTCGTCCTCCTCCTCCTCCTCCTCGCTCCTCCTCCTCACTCCTCCTCTTCATCCTTCTCGCTCCTCGCTCCTCCTCCTCGCTCCTCCTTTTCCTCCTCCTCCTCCTCTCCTCTCCTCCTTCTCCTCCTCCTCCTCCTCGCTCTTCCTCTTCCTCCTCCTCCTCCTCCCTCCTCCTCCTCCTCCTCCTCTTCCCCATTGCTCCTTCTCCTCCTCCTTCCCCTCCTCCTTTTCCTTCTCCTCCTCCTTCTCCTCCTCCTCCTCCTCCTCCTCCTCCTCCTCCTCTTACTCCTCCTCCTCCCTCGCCGCTCCTTCCCCCGTTCCGCCTCCCGCTCGACCGCCGGGCCAGGGGCGCCCTCGGCCAGCACGAGCAAGCGCTCCGCGGTGGTCCTCGAGGCCGCCAGTGCGTCGGCCCGCGGTCCTGTCTCCAGCGGGCGCTGCTGATGATAATGGTGATGCTGATGCTGATGCTGCTGATGATGATTGTGATTATGATGATGGTGAGGATGATGAGGATGATGAGGGTAATGAGGATGGTGATGGTGATGGTGATGGTGATGGTGATTATGTCGATGTTGATGGTGATGGTGATGGTGATGGTGATGCTGATGATGATACTGATGCTGATGCCAATTATGATGATGATGGTGCTGCTGATGATGATGCTGATGATGATGCTGATGTTGTTGTTGATGATGATGTTGATGATGCTGCTGATGATGACGATGATGATGAGTAGGAGGAGTAGGAGGAGTAGGAGGAGGAGGAGGAGGAGGAGGAAGGGAAGGAGAAGGAGGAGGAGGAGGAGCAGGAGGAGGAGGCGGAGGATTCTCGGGGCTTTGTCTTGTTTCTGCGGGGCGAGAAGGGCGGTTGAGGGCGGAGGGAGGAGGAGGGAGAAGGGACGGAGGGAAGGAGGGCCCCCCCGCAGGGGGGGCCGGCCGAGACGGCGGGCCGCGGAGGCGGGCGGCCGCAGCGGAGGGCAGGCGGGCGAGGGGGCGCAGGGCGGGTGGGCCCGGCGACGGCGGGGGGTCCGTCGGCGCGGAGTCGCCGTGCCGCTCGATCGGCGAGGCCTGCGCGCGGCGCTCCCGCAGGCGGCGCGCTCCGCCCCAGCGAGGCCCGGCTCGCTTGCCGCCTGCCTGCGCTCGTCGGCGCTGTCCCCCGTTGGCGTCGGGCCCCGCCTCCTCCTCGCGGTCGGCCCCTCCGCTCGCCGTGGTATTAGGCGGTCTCTTGCGGCCCTCGCCCTCGCCTGGGCCGGCCCTCGCTCGGTCCCCGCACGCTGCCACGCGCGCTGGGGGAGCCGGCGCTCGACTCCGGCCCGCGTCCACGCACACGCGGGCGCCGCCCCGCGCCCTTGCGGCGGGCCCCCTTCCTGGCGGCGGGCCCCCCCGGGCGGCGAGGCGGAGAGGCCGCGTGGGGGCGCTCCCGGACGGCCCGCGCAGGGGGCGGGCGGGGGGCCTGCAGCCTGCCAGGCGCAGGAGTGACCCGTCTCCGGAGCGGCAGTTTTGGATGCCGGCCCGCCGGTGCCCCCCGACCGCCGGGCGCGGAGCGGTGGCAGCGGGTGCGCGCCCAGGCTTGGCCACCTGGGGCCGCGCACCAGAGGTGGCTCCTGCCCGGGGTCACTCTGGCGTGCAGCCGGCCCAGGGCTCCATGGGGTCGCCCCGCCCCGGGACTGCGCCCGCCCCCTGGCCCGCCGGCCCCCTGCGCGCTCACGCCCGCGAGGGTCTCGCCTGCCGGCCGCCGCTCCCAGGATCGTCGGACCGCGCCGTGGTCACGACAGCAGGCGCGGGCCCGTCCACTCGGTCTATCAGGTGGCACTTGGGCGCCACTCTTTGCCTTGCCTGTCTCACTCCGGTGGGACATGATCGCACGGTATTTGCAGTTCAGCGTGCTTGATCGTAGATCCTCTGAGCTGGGAGGGTCGTGCAGGCAGCATCCTGCATTTGGACGTACCAGCCGATCCTCGACTTCAGGCTGGTCACTGGAAACGAAAAGGTAGGCGCGGACCCGTGCCCACTCGTACGGACGCGCGCCGACCCCTCCGCATCGCGAGTCTGTCCTCTCTGAGGCTCTTCGGCGGCCGTCCGCCTCCTCCGCCCTCCCGCGCCCGGAGGGAGGGCTGGGGGGGGGGGGGGGGCCCCCGGAGGAGGAGGAGGAGGAGGAGGAGGAGGAGGAGGAGGAGGAGGAGGAGGGAGGAGGAGGAGGAGGAGGAGGAGGAGGAGGAGGAGGAGAGTGTGGGCATCCATCCCTTCCGCGGCGGGAGGGCCGGCAGAGGCGAGGAGCGGGGGCGGGCTATGCCGGGGGGGCGGACGCTCGGCGGGGGGCGGCGGCCGTAGGACGCCAAGGTCGGCATTCGGACGCGTGTGGTCGCCCGGGGGGCTGGGCCCGAGCCCAGCCGCCGCTCCCGGCCTCGGCGCGTCGCCAGGGGGAATCCCCGCGGAATCCGCCCTCTTCTCCCTCCTCCGCCTTCTCCCTCTCCCTCCACCTCCTTCTCCTCCTCCTTTCGCTTCCTCCCTCCTCCCGCCGCGCGCGGGCGGAGGGGGAAGGCGCGAGGCGGGATGCGGGAGGCAGGGAGGCGGGGAGGGAGGGAGGGAGAGAGGGGGCAGGTTCTCCAGGAGGTGGCGCCTCCTCTCGTCCTGCTCCTCCAGCCTCTTCTTGCCCCCTGGGGGAGGTTGCCCGGGCCGCTCTTCTCCTCGAGGGCGGCCCCCCTTGGCCCTTGGCCTCTCCCGCGGTGCGCGTGGACCACAGTGTCGAGGGGACCCCGGCCGCGTCGACCAGACGCCGTTCGCCGAAGACGAAGAAACGGCATACAAACATGAGCTTCTCGCGCTCCGCGCGCCAGGGAGGGGGGTCCAGCGCAGATCCAAGAAATCCGCGCGGAGCCCCAAAAGTTTATGTTCATGCCGGTGTGTCTTCTTCTAATCGTGCCAGGGGGAACCCGGCCGCGTCGTCCAGACGCCTCGCGGATGCCGTTGGCGGAGAACGCCCAGACCCCTCCATCTGTGATCCTCGAACCTCGATCCTTCTCCTCGCCTCCAGGGTCCATTTCGATCCGATGGATCCGGTTCGATGTCAGTTCCGGCCGGCTCGATCCGGTTCGTGTCCGAAAGTCCGAAGACGTGTTGCGGCCCGATGCTGGTACGCCGTTGTTGTGCATCCTGGTGCAGCCGATCCGATGCTGTTTCGACTACGTGCTGATACAGCCCGATGCGATGCACATCCCGATCCGATGCGATCTCCCGATGCGATGCTGACTGAACGTGCCTCGATCCTCGAGCCTGGGCCCCCTTGCTGCTCAGCCGTTTTGCCTCAGACTCCGCCGCGGCCGACGGCGAGCGAGCACGCCACCCACGGAGGCGGCGAGGATGGTGCAGGACAGGGCAGACTCCAATGCAGTCCTGAGACCTAGCAACGGAGGAGCGACGAAGAGGAGGCCGAGGATCTGAACGCTCGGAATGGGTACGGAAAGAATGGGTACAATGCCCAACAGCAGTTCCTGTTCATTTTGGACAGGATTCGCTGTCCACGCCGCCGCGGCCTGTGTCCATTCGAGGCAGAGGGCCGCCTGCCCAACAGCGGCCGCTGTTGGTTTGGGACAACATTTGTTGTTGGGCATTGCATCCATTCTTTCCGTACCCATTTCGGGCGTCCAAAGAGGAGGGCGAGGAGGAGGGGGAGGGCGAGTGGGACGAGGAGGAGAAGAAGGAGGCCAATGATCGAGGATGGAGTGGAGGTTCTGGGGCGTCTCTGGTGCTTTTGGGCTCCTGGCAGGCGGGTCTTCATCTGCACGACTGGGCTCCGGCCTAGAATCCTCGTCGAGTCGCCTTAGGACAGGTCCAGATGTAGATTTTTTGGCCCCAGGGCCACCACAAAAAAGGGCAACTGGCCTGTGTGGGCAGTTTCGGCGTCCAGGGGCCGCTCTTTGGTCTTGTCCAGCTTGGGCTTTATCAAGAAACCACCTGTTGCGGAAATCCGGTTCCAGGGGTGTTGTCGAGAGATTCAGGGCCCACGTCTTGAAAATTCCCCGAGTGGGCTTGCTCCAGGATGCCTTCTGCCGCCCCCGCGGCCGTTCCCGTGAAATCGTGCGGGCTGCGACCTCTTGCGAGAAGTCAGCGCCTTTGGTATTGAGTTCGGGAACATCGTTGCCTTTGAGGCCCCATGCTGTCGTGGGGCGCGAGCAGGCTTCGGTCATAAATCGTTCCAGGGCGTTCCAGGGTTCCAGCACGCTTCCCGAGCGTTCCAGAAGGCTCTGAAGCGGCCGCGGCGGCCGTCCTCCAAACCCGGCAGCTCTCAGAGGTTCCTGCTTCACCTCAATCTGAGTGTATCGTCTTCCGGCCCGTGGCGCAGGTTTGGTGGAGGATTACCTTTTAGACACGCGCGGTGGCGGGTCAAACAGTTTTCGAACGTCTTCAGGCTCGTGTTCGGAAGTCTCCTCGCTTCTCTTTGCGGGTCTTCAAGGGCATTTATGGAGGTTCTCGGGGTCCCTGCGGGACCTCGTGGGAGTGCAGCTAAGCGCAGTCTCGGGGAGGGGGGTGCGTTTGGGAAAGGCTCCTGCTTCTCCTCTTCCTCCTCCTTCTCCTCGCCCTCCTCCTCCTTCTCCTCCTCCTCCTCCTCCTCCTCCTCCTCCTCCTACTCCTTCATTCCATCCTGGTCACGTCTTCTTATTTTTCTCCTCCATTGCATCCCATGGTCGCTCCTCGTCGTGCTCCTCCTTCTCCACAGTGCCATTCCCGCTTATCGTCGTCCTCCTCTTTCTTCACTCCGTCCCATCCCATCCCATTCCCTCCCATCTCCTCGTCCTCCTCATCCATGCCACCCTCGCTCCTCGTCCTCCTCCTCCTCCTTCTCCATCACGTCCTCGCTACTCAGCCACATCCGATCCTCCTCCCCTCAACCCCTCAATCCCTCTCCTCCTGCAAACGAGGGTGTAGGAGGCCACCCGACTGCATCGGAGATCCAGGGAGACTACGCCCAAGTCGACGCGGCCGCGAGGGAGGTGCCCGCAGACGGCACGGGCGCTCACGACGCCGCCGCCAGGCTGAAGGCCGCGATCGATAGTACGCCATTCAAGTGGAAGGTCCTCCTCCTCTTCCTGCTCCTCCTCCTCCTGCTCCCCCCCCACCTCCTCCGGCTGCCTGCAGCAGTTACGACGTGAGGTTTCTTGCCGTTTTCGGCCCTTGGGTGCCCCGACGGGGCCTCGGGGCCGTCAGCTGAACAGCTCGGGATGGAACACCGCGCGGTGATGGGCAAATTTTCCACCACCACTACCATATGCAGGACAGGGGAGAAGGGGGGGGTGAGGAGGTCCTCCTCCTCCTCCTCCTCCTCCTTCTCCTGCTCCCTCTCCTACCCATCGCAGCGGTGGTGGAAAATGAGCCCTTCAGCCGCTCTCGGGACAAACAAACCATCAGGCTGCAGGAGGTTTCTGGGGCTGGGCAGGTCCCAGCCAGGGTCTGCTCAGATCTTGCCGCTCCCCCACGGGCACCTTCAGTTGGATCGGGTATAGCCTTAAGTCGGGCCTGTCCCTTTACAGGAGGAGTATCCCAAGATAGTCAAACATAGTCGGGGGAGGAATTTTTGACTATTTCGGTGCATTTGGGGAGCATTTTTGGAGTATCTTGTATTCTCCGTCCAAAATCCGCCTGTAGGGGGACATGCCCTACCTAAGTATAGCCAGGACCCCAGGTAAGGGGACCCAGTTAGCAGTAGGACCCCAGAGCCCCTAAATTGGCCAGAATCCCCAAAGCAGGTCTGTCGTAGCTGGTGTTCTTTCGGGTGGCGGCAGTTCCGGTTAGTGGAACGGGGCGGGGGGGGGCGTCCCCAGTACACATCACTAAACCAGGTCCCACTAAACCCAGTTCTGCCAACGCCCGACTGGAGTCCACCCCCGCGGTTCTCCTGCCTCGGCCTGGGGCCCGACGCAGGCTTCCGAGGCTAACAGAACTAGAAAGCAGCCCGCATTCTCGACGACGACGATGACCACCACCAGCACGACGACGACGATGACGACGACGACGACGACGACGACCACGACCACGACCACGACGACCACGACGATGACGACCACGACGACGACGACGACGACGACGACGACGACGACGACGACGACGACGACGACGACGACGACGGCGACCGCGGCCACGGCGACCGCGGCCGCGGCCGCGGCGACCTGCGACGGCGCTCGGCACCGCCCTGGGAGGTCGCGATCGCGGCGGGCATCGGCGTCGCGGGCGTTGCGGCGCTGGGCGGAGTCGCGGCGGGCGCCCGCGGCGCGCCCGGCGGGGCCGCCGTGGCGGCGGCGCAGGGCCAGGCCGTGCCGCCGGCGGCGGTCGCGACGGCGGACGCGCACTCGCGGCTGGAGGGCCCGCTGACGACTGGCAAGAGGCCAGGGGGTGTCCCAGGGGGGGGGTTGAGAAGTCTTCGTTCCGCGCCTCTCGAAAAGCTCAAGACGGAGGACTTTCATCGTTTTCGGCCAATGGGGGGCCATCGACGGGGTCTGGGATCGGCAAAAGTGACCCAGGATGTAACACCCGCCCCGGGGAAAGGGTCGGGACGGGCTACCAGGGAACCCGTATTGAAAAAAACAAGTCGTCGAATTTTTAGATTGCTTCTTGGATACTTCCTGGCCTCGAGATGCTCTCCAGCAGCTGCGCCTCGTCGAGAGCTTTCCAGGAGAGCCCAGATCGCCCCGAACGGAGGTTGAAGGCCTGACTGAGTTAAAGCCCCGAAAGCCACCAGGGCGTCGAAGAGGTGGGTCAGGCAAACCAGGTGCACTCGCGCCTTATCTGGCATCCTACTCCTCCCACCCACTCCTTCCCATTGCGGTTTTTTTTGCTCTAACCGCCCACGCGTGCCATAGCGGATCTGGAGTTCCAGAAAGGACCCCATTGTATCATGCGCAATCGGGAAAAGGGGAGTTGCGTGGATTGGAGGAGGGTGCGGATGAACAGGAAGATGGGCAGGATTAAGGGACGATCATGAGGAGGACGGAGAGGAACAGCAGCAGGATATGGAGTGGGAGAAGCGGGAGGAGCAGGATTACCATGGGAAGGCGGGGCAATGGAAAGGAGCGGGATGACAACGACGAGGAAGCACTCGGATCCAGGAGAGTGGCCCGCGCTGGGCCGAGAGCGCCACATCGAACGACGGGACCAGAGCACGGGTCCGAAAGTGAGGCCATCGCTGCCGCGGCAGCACCGTTTTGAGACACCAGACGTTCCGATTGGAAACACCAGATGTGAGATTGCCCAAGCAGTGCTTGCACTTAGGTGCTCTTACTTCTCTTGCAGAGGCTGTGCCGTGTCCTCGGTCTGGCGCCCATGTTCCCGCCGTCGATCCGCCCCCGTCGCCGCCCCGTGGCCTCCCGTCGTTTGGCCGTGTCTTCGGTCTTGCGGCCAGGTTGCCGCCGTCGCCGCCTCGCATAGACTGCGCCGCCAAGATTGCACCGCAGGTATTGTACCGCACAGGTTGCAACACAAACTTTGTACCACGTGGATAACACCACATAGGTTTGACCACATCGGCTGCACGGAACCAATCGCGCCTGCGGTGCGCTCGCTGATCGTTTACAACACAGCAGATTTTGGACTGCACTACGTAGATTGCACTACATAGCTGCGCCACGTACGGTGCACGAGAAGTTTTTCGCGCCTGCGTCGCGCTTTTGACCTCTTGCAACATATATTGCCCTACATGTATTGCACCACGGTAATGGCAACACAGAGATTGCACCGCATAAGTTGCACCAGATACTGTGCGCCACATCGGTTGTCCCACATCGAGTGTATCACGTTGAGTGCACGAAACAATCCCGCCTGCGGCGCGATTGTTGATCGCTCACAGCATGAATCGTTTTACAGCTACTGCGCAGCAGCGAGTACACCACATAGATTGCACAACATAGATTGCACGACATGGATTGCACCACATAGAATGCACCGCATATATTGCATCACATGTGTTGCACCATATAGTTCCCCCAGATAGATTTAACCGCATGGATTGCAACACACATCTTGCACCACATAGATTGCACAGCACAGACTGCACATCGTAGACTACACAACATTAGTTGCGCAATGCAGATGGCACCACCTCGATTGCACCACATAAGTTGCTCCACATCGATTGCGCCACCTAGATCACTCCTTGTAGATGACACCACGAAGACTGTTAGAGCACACGCGGTTTGGAGTCCACACTGGCTAACATCAACGTTTCGGATATTGTGCGTAAGAGACAATACGCGGAGAGGGTTCGTTCCCTTCCCTGGCCATCTTGACGGGAGACAGGAGAATAGCATCCAGATTCCGTCATTTTTATTGGTGGGTTGGGATGTCATGGCCAGGGCCATGACGCCTCCCATATGTCATGCCCCTGCCCTCCCCTCTCAACACCACGTCTCCTGCCCCCCCCCCCCTCGCCGTGCACATGCCTTGGGCCGGCCATGACGCGCTAACCCCCCCTCTTCCTGCCCATCTCCCCCTCCGGCGCACCCGAAGAGGACGCTCGAGGAGCCGCCAGTGGTGAGCGAGGACGGCTTCGGGAACGCCAGCAACGCCTCCAACGCCTCCCACGCGCCCCACGGAGCGGGTGCCTCGTCGACGGCCAAGCCCAAGGCAGCCGAGCGCCCCGCTAATTGCGGCGACCGCTTCAAGGCGCCGAAGAAGCCGAAGACCGCCGACGAGCACAACGGCGTGGCCCTGGAGGACGTCTGCTTCGAGGAGGACGGCTCCCACCACGTCTTCATCATCGGCGACTGGGGCGGCATCACCCAGGGGGACGGACGGCTGGCCGCCGCGCCACACCTCACGCACCGCTGGGAGACGAACTACAACTTCGTCTGGCCCCCGGACGAGCAGGCCCAGACCCTCGTCCGCGACCAGATCCGGAAGCGCGCCCCGGACAGCAGGCCAGACTACTTCCTCAATGTCGGCGACAACTTCTACTGGGCGGGCGTCGAGGACCACTGCGGCGCGAAGGACATAGCGGATGCTTACAGCCAGGGCGGCACCACCGTATATAAGGAGCACAAGGTGAACCAGTTCGACCACGTGTACGAGAAAGTCTACACCGGGGACGGCGTCGACGACAAGCAGTGGCTCGGCGTCTTAGGCAATCACGACTACGGTGGCTGGCTGTTCACTCACGCCTGGGACCAGAACATCGGCTACACCTGGAGTTCAGCCGACTACTCAACAGGCCGGTGGATGACTCCAGCCATGTATTATCAGTCCAAGGTGTGGTACCCAGACTTCGCTGTCGACTACTACTTCCTGGACACCAACATTTTCGACGCACTGGACCCCAAGGATCCTTCCCCGCACAACATCTGCTCCGAGACGCACAACGATGAGGAGCCCGTCACCTGCGCCCCTGTCGGGCCGAGCGGCGTTTGGAAGTGCCAGGATTGGTTCGGCAAGCTCTGGAAGAAACAGCAGAAGTGGCTCGACGAGGTGGTGCCAGAGTCGACCGCCGACTGGCGCATCGTCGTGACACACTTCCCCCCGAGCTGGGGTGCGCCCGACTGGAAAAAGCTCGCTCCCAAACACGAGATCGATCTCGTCATCGCCGGTCACAGGCACATCCAGGACATGCACCAGCCTGGTGACAACAGGAAGATGGTATGGCACAACGACCCGAACGAGTTGTACAACGACTTCCTGGACCCCACCGTGTGGGTGACCTCCGGCGGCGGCGGTGGCGTCACCTCCGAACGGGAGCCGTCGATGGACGGCAATGATGACCAGTATGGTTTCATGGATATGACCCTGGAGAAGAGTAAGATCACCATTGAGGGCATTTCTCACGGTGGTCAGCTTCGCAGGAAGCTCGTCATGGAGCCCGCGTTCCCTCACCATCCTCTGTATGACGAGGCCAAGGCGAAGAAGGCTTCTGAGGAGGCCAAGAAGAAGGCAACTGCCTGGACGAAAGAGCATGCAAAAGAGTTGAAGGAAAAGGACAAGGCTTGGGCTGAGGCACACAAAAACAAGTCCGAGGCGGACGGGGACAGTGATTCCGAGGCAGAGACCCAGGCCCAGTGAGCACATTCGTCCACTCTGTCAGAACGCGTTCGCCAAGCGAGACAATGGGACGTTTCGAACGGTTGACCATCGTTTCAAGTCGTTAGACACGCATGAGTCATTGTCATGTGTGGGTGAAGAGCCTTGCAGCAATGCAGCGGCTCGCGAGCATAGCATCATACTCGCGGGTATTCTTCCAAGGGCTCGCCCACTCCGAATTCAGTAACGTCGCGACCACAGTGTTGCAGAGGCTATCACATGGTCGAGCCAGATGGCAGGCATGCAACCTCTGGAAATTCAGTTGCCCCAAAGGCGGACAAACTTCAACCACAATTCGCCCCGCACTAGGACGGACCGATTCAGTTACATGCTAAGGAGGGCCATCTTCTCACAAGTCTGATGTCGCCTCTCTTCCACACTCCTCCTCGTCCTCCTTCCTTTCCTCATCCTTAGTCCCAGCAACCTCATCCCCCTCCCTCCAGCCTGCTGCACCCTTCCCTCCTCCTTGCTTTAGGATCGAAGACGTCTAGGGCGACTTTCCGCCGCCCCCTGCCTTTTGGAATCGCCCATGTGGCCGAACGTTGTGGCCATAGCTCTGCCAAGCTATCCGACCATGTGCTCCCGCAGCCGTTGTGGCAACCCTTCGGGGAACACTTGGGGGGGACTGGCGGGGAATATCAGGAGGAGGAAGGATGAGGGGGAGGAGGAGGAGGGAGGAGGAGGAGGAGGAGGAGGAGGAGGAGGAGGAGGAGGAGGGGGCATCTTGGGAGCCTCTGGGAGACTCGTGGGGCCTCCTGGAAGCTTGCTGGGAGCATCTTGGAGGCATCTTGGGGGCCTCCTTGGGCCTCTTGGGGGCCTTTGGGGTCTTCTCGGGGGCCTCTTTGCCCGTCTTGGGTCGTTCCTGGCCCATCTGACGCCGTCTGAAGTCGTCTTGGGGGCCTCGCTGGGCCGACTTGGAGCTCTCTTGGGGTGCTCCAGGGCCGTCTTGGAGGCTCTCTTGGGCGTCTTGGAGTCGTCTTGGGGCCGCACTTGGGGCAGTCTTTTGAGCCACTTGGGCCGTGCTGGGGCCATATTGGGGGCCTCTTGGGCGATATAGGGGCGATCTTTGAGGGCTCTTGGGCCGTCTAGGCCGTCGGAAGGCCGAAAAGAAGCAAATGTCAACATCCTTCAACAACTGACGGACACATCCATGATTTGGGCCTGTTCGGGCCTTCCTGGAGGTCCTCTTGGGTGCCTCTTGGGCGGTCTTGAAGGTCTCTTGGGCGTTTCTTGGGCCGTCTTGGGCTCTCTTGGCGCTCTTGGAGGCATCTTGGGACCATCTTCGCGGGCTATGTTGGGCTCTGTTGGGGCCGGCCTGGCCGTCTTGCAGGCACCTTGGCCGTGAAGGATGCTCTGGGGCCATCTCGAGCGAACAGAGCCGACGAGGCAGGCAGCCGGCGCGCGGGGCCGAAGCCCCAGGGGACAAAGGCAACAACACCAAGCCGCGTAGCGTCAAGCACGCCAGGCACCCCTGCAAAAAAGAGAGAGAGAGAGAGGGGGGGGGGAAAAAACGAGAGACATATATATATATATATATATATATATATACATACATACATACACACACATATATATATATATACATACATACATACATATATACATATATCCACAGGGGGCGGCGGATCGAAGACGCCTACGGCGAGTCACCGCCGTCCCCTGCCTTTCGGAATCGCCCATGTGGCCGAGCGTTGTTGCAAGAGCTCTGCCAAGCTATCGGGCCATGTGTTCCCCCAGCCGCTGTGGAAGCCCTTCGGGGAACGCTTGGGGGAAGATGGTGGGGAGAATCAGGAGGAGGAGGGGGCATCTTGGGATCCTCTTGCTCTTGGCGCACTCTTGAGGCCTCCAGTGAGCTTCTGGGGGCCTCTTGAAAGCATCTTGGAGCCTCCTTGGGCCTCCTGGGGACCGTTGTGGGCTTCTTGGGGCTGTTTTTGGCAGTCTCAGGGCATTCCTGGCCCGTCTGACGCCGTTGGAAGCTGTCCCTCTCTGGACCGACTTGGGGCCCTCTTGGGGTGCTCGCTGGGCCGTCTTGGAGGCCATCTTGGGCGTCTTGGAGGCATCTTGGGGCCGTCTTGGGGCCCTCTCGAGGCCGTCTTAGGGGGCTCTTGGGCCGTGCTGGGGCCATCTTGGAGGCCTCTTGGGCGATCTTGGGGCGATCTTTGGGGGCTCTTGGGCCGTCTCGGGCCGTCGGAAGGCCGAAAAGAAACAAAGCTTAACATTCTCAAAACGCACAAGGAAAAATAAGTTTGGCCTCTTCGGGTCCTCCTGGTGGACTTCTTGGACGCCTTTTGGGCAGTCTTGGAGGCCTCTTGGGCGCGTCTTGGGCCCTCTTCGACCGTCTTGGCGGCTTCTTGGGCGGACTTGGCGGCATCTTGGACCCTCCACGGCCGTCTTGGAGGCCATCTTGGACTATCTTGTGCGAACTTGGAGGCTATCTTGGCCTTCTTGGAGGCCCTCTGGAGCCGTCTTGGAGGATTCTTTCCGGTTTTGTGGTCCTTTCGGGAGGCCGGCGGGACGGGCCGAAGCCCCAGGGGAGAGTTCTTTTGGACCAAAAAAACAAAACCAAACCAGTAGGATCTAGCACGCCGGGCACCCCTGCGGCAAGACCACAGGGGGCGGCGGATCTACTGGCCTTCGGCCACCGTGTCTGGGTTGTGGGCCAGAGTTGTCAGGGAGTCTCTTCGGAGCGCTCTCGGGGGCCTCTCGGTGGCAGTATTGGGGCCTCTTGGGGGCCTCCTGGGCCTCCTGGGGTCCTCTTGGGGGCATCTTGGGGACCTCTTTGGGCCTTTTGGGGGCCTCTTGGGGGCCTCTTAGGGGCCTTGGGGCCTCCTATGGGCCGCTCGGGGCCGATGGCTCGAAATGTCCGTTCGGGTCCCCCATCTGGGCCCCCTCTTGGAGCCGTCTTTGGGGCCTCTTGAGCCGTCCTGAGCGCCTCTCGAGCTGTCTTGGGGCCCTCTGCGGCAGTTTTGGGGCCCTCTTGGAGGCCTCTTGGGCCGTCTTGGCGCGATCTTGGGGGCCTCTCGGGCCGTCTGGGAGCGTCGGGAAGCCGAACAAGCGAGAACACCCCAAACCGTCAAAACCTTAGACAAATTAATGTGTTTGGCCTCTTGGGGCCCTCCCGGGAGGCCTCTTGGAGGCCTCTTGGGCAGTTTGGGAGACCTCTTGGGCCGTCTGGGAGCCATCCTGAGCGTCTTGGAGCGATCGCTCGGCGACTCGGGGCGTCGGGGCCTCTTGGGGCTCTCTTGGCCCGTGTAGGGGCCATCTTGGCCCCCAACAAGTGAAGCGACAAGCCGCGCTAAGCCCCGGGAGATTTGGCAATTTGGGCTCCAGGCCCATTAAAGACTCCTCAGGAGTGAGGACTGAGGCTCAAGGGAATAATTAGCAAAGAACATGAGGACACGCCCACTCCGTGCCCAGAGGCACGGTGGCGGACTTATCTTCAGAAACAAGGTGATTGTGGATGTCTGGAAACGGTTGGGCGCTCTCGCCTCGACGCCGGCGGCAGCTTCCTTGAAACCGAGGCACCCGCTCGAGCGTGGGTTTGGTTCCGAATGTCGCCTCCTCAAGGCCCACCTACGACAACAACGGCTGCCGCTCGATACCTCACCGTAAATTTCCCCAGGACGCCCTGGCCAAAGAGGCTTCCCGACTCGGGAACGGCGCTCTCACCCGAGGCTTCCTCGCACGGCAATCAAGTTGGTGAAGTCTCGGCTGCAGCGACAACGACTCCCGCTGTCTATGTCCTCGTCATTTACCCCAAGATGCCCTGGCCAGAGAGGCTTCCGAACTGAGGAACGGCGCTCTCGCTCGAGACTTGAGCCGCCCAGCTGAAGGCCCAGCCGCAACGATATCGACATCGGCCAAGCTGTACGATTTACTCCGAGATGTCCTGACCAGAGAAGCCCCAAAACATTTGAACGGCACTCTCGCTGGTGACTTTCGCGAACTTCCATCAAGTTGGTAACGGCCCAGCTGCGACGATAACGGCTCCCGCTCGATATTTCCTTCTACCTTGCAAGGGGACGGTCTGGCCCGCCTGGATGATCATAATGCTCCTCCTCCTTTCTCATTATCATCCTCCTCTGCCCCTCCCGCCTCCTGCCTTTTGCCTCCTTCGCCCTATCACCTGTTTCCTTTCTTCCCTACTCCCTCTCCAACGTCTCTCTCCTCCGTTCCGCTCCCTCCTCCTAGCTTCTCCTCTTCGTCCTCCTCCTCCTCTTCCTCCTCCTCCTCCTCCTCCTCCTCCCTCCTCCTCCTCATCCTTCTCCTCCTCCTCTTCCTGGGGGGGTCTACGGACCCAGACCTCCGACGTCACGGTACGTTCTGTTCCTGGGGCTCTCGATTTGATGTCGCCTTGGGTCGTGTTGCTTCATGGCGTCGGGGCCCGAGGCGGGCATCTCAAGGCCCAAGCTTGGAACAGCTCGGTCGTCCCGCTTCCGATGCTGGGCCACACGGGGCGCGACCCTCCAGCGGCCCCGACAGCGCCCAGGGGGGGGGCCTGCTCGCGCAGGGCAGCTCCCCCCCCTCGAACACCCGCGCACCAGAGGCCCCACCCTCGGCAGAGGCCACCGCGTGGCACGTTCCACGGCAGGGGCCTCGCCGTCGGCCCGGCAGAGCTCCTGCTCTTGTCGGCGGGAGCTAACAGCGGTGGCGGACCCGCGGGCGGAAGACGGGCGCAGGCAGGAGCGGAACGGCAGCATCCCCGGACACCCTCCGACATGCTGCTCGTGGTCTTCTGGCCCGTGGCCCCGGAGCCCGCGACCCCGTCCCCGGGGAGGGCCCTGCGCCCCATGGTCCATCGTTGGTGGCCCCCGGGCTCCGCATCCGGCCGGCCCCGGAGGCCAGGAGGAAGGACGAGGGCGGGCGGCGCTGAGTGGGGGGGCGACAGAGCTCAGGAGGGGAGAAGACACACACAACACAATGAATCGTCGACTCCCCCAGAAAATATGGGAACATATGGGAGGTGTGGGGGGGGAAGACAGAAACCCAGAAGATATGGGAAACTGTGGGGAATACTTTTTGTCTGTGTGTATCTATTTGTGTGTCCTGGGGCCCCTTCAGACAGAGGGAGGGGGCAGCGAGGGCCGCAGCAAAGGGGCCCCTCGAGGCCCTTGCGCAGGGGCGGCCCAAGAGAGGGGGCATCTGGGGCCCTCCTCCTCCTCCCCCTCCTCCTCCTCCTCCTCCTCCTCCCTCCTCCTCCCTCCTCCTCCTCCTCCTCCTCCTCCTCCTCCTCCTCCTCCTCCTCCTCCTCCTCCTCCTCCTCCTTGCAGGGGCCTCCGCCCTTGCAGGGGCGGCCCAAGAGAGGGGCCTCTCTCTCTTTCCCCCCCTCCAGTGCCCCCCCCAGGAAGCGCCGCCCCAAGGAGAAGGACGAAGGCAAGCCTTCGTCGGAGAGCTGGGCCACCGGGCCACTGGGCGGGGCAGGGCTTCAGAAACACCGGCCCGCGCTGGGCGGCGGGGGCCCTGCTGCGGAGCCCTTCTCCGTGGCCGTGTTGGCTCGAGCCTTTTGACTCGAGCTGCCGCTTGTGAACCGAACGTGCGGCGAAGAGCAGACTCCGCCGACTCGTGCTGTGCATGGGAGGTTGCCGGAGTTGACCAGCACGTCTATGGCTCTTCGCACGTGCCAAATACCAGTGGACATCGTGTGTGGTCTGACCGTCCACGTCGTGGCGTTGCTGGCCTGTTGGTTTGCCCTGGCCCGGTTTTCTCCGATTCCCCTCGTCCGTGGCCGCGAGTTCGCTGCGCTGCGAGGTCTGCAGGGTCTGCCCGAGCCTCGGCCCGAGCCTGGGCCCGAGCCTGCTCCACGCAGTGGGCCTTTCTTCGATCTGGCAGAGCGCCCCAAGGGTGCTCAATTCACGGTGTCTTACGGGGAGCGAGCGGTCCCGCACGACATGCCAGCTAATGGCAAGGCAAATCCTTGGTGGAAGTCAGTTGAAGCTTGGAAGAACGGTTCTGTCACGAGATCGAAGCGTCAAAAGATGGTGTTTGTCACTGGCTTGCCACATTCTGGAACCACGTTGATGGAGTTGTTTCTGCGACAGTTCGATGGGGAGTTAAGCACGCTGTCCTTCGCCAAAACTGATCATAAACACGAGGGTAGAGATTTGATACCACACAAACAATACCCGCTTCCTGAGTATGGTGGCGCGTTTGGCGGCTACGGGAGCATGTGCGGCAATGAGGGTGGAAAGTACTTACAGAAAGGTTTGCGACAAAATGAGGCGAGCTCTAGCGCCGTCCAGAAACAGATGCAAGTATTGACTTGGAAGTATTGGCAGCCACACTTTGAGCTATCGAAGCCAGGTCTGGTTGAGAAGGATCCGAGACATCTGTTGCGAATGCGAATGTGGCAGAACATGTTTCGTGATACCCACGATGTGTTTCCAATTTTTACATTGATGCACCCTCTCGAGAGTATCACTTATGCTTCGTGCAGGCCAGTCGAGAACACCCGGACTCGAATGGTAAGGAACTGGTTGAATTGCCACCGTGCTTTGCTCGAAGACCTGAAACACCTTCGGAATTATTTGGTTGTTCATTATGAAGCATGGTTTCTCTACCCGGATGACACGGCGCAGGCAATCGAAACGTATTTGAATCTCGAAGGTCGTGTCAATATGACCTTTGACGCACGCAGGCTGCATGCGCACGGAAATGCGTTTGCGTTGAAAGATAAATATTTTGGACGATGCAGCAATGTCGTTCGGAATTTCAGTAAGTCGGAGGCTGCGAAAGATTGGCCAAGTCGCCTTTACGAAGATGAGCTGGCAACCTATGGGTACGATTTGTATAATACCACTACTATCCACAAACCGTCGGCATTCGGGCTTTGCCAGCTGGACGGCGTTCCTTGTCCCTGATTTGCGCATTTATCAATCAGCCTCATGCCCAATCAGTGCAACAACAATCAGTGCAGCAATAATACTCAGAATTCCGAATTCCCTCGAGGCTCAATCAGTAATACAAGTTGCCATCGAGTTGCCATCGAGTTGCCGTCGAAGCTCAATCAGTGCAACAGTAATACAAGTTGCCATCGAGTGACCCATCCAATCGTCAAGGTTGGCTCACTCGGCGCTTCAACATGCTACAGCAGAGGAAGCTTATGATCAAGACATGTTTCAAGCATGTCCTTCACCAAGGCCATCGCGCGTCTTTCCGGCGTCCTCTCCCTGCCTGGTCAGCTGCTTTTCGACAGCAGCTCCGTGACAACCGCTTGCGGCCACAGCGTTTGGCTGTCTCGCGGACCTCGGTGACTCCTCCCTCGCAGCTGCTGCCGGCCCACTTCGGCACGCCCGTCGCCTTGGGCGCGCCGCGGGTGGCCCCCCCGCGACCCGCGCGGCCCGCCGCGCGGCTCGCCGGGGCCCGTGGCCCGTCGCCCTGTGGCGCCCCGGGCTCCGAGGAGGGAAAAGGTGCCCCCCACACCGCTGGCCCTCGCCTCGCTCTCCCCCCGTGGGGGCCCTCCCCGGGAGGCCCTCGTCGCTACCGCCGGGCTCGCTCCGGAGTCCTGGTCGGAGCGCACGCTGGGAGAGGGTCCGGGGAGCCGCGGCCTCGGTGCCCCGCTGGCTTCCCCAGGGGCGCCCGAGCGAGCGACCCGTCCCAAGTCCTTCGTGGCCTGGGCGTGCGTCGCCGCTCCTCGCCCATGCCCCTCTCTACGGGCGCCTCCCTCTGCCCCCCCCCCCCCCGCCCGCCCTGCGTGCAATTCGCCCTACAGTGTCCCCCCCCCCCTCCCTGGGGCCCCGGCTCAGCCAGGCTCCGACCCCGCTGTGCCTCCGCAGGCGCTGCGACCAACAGCTGTTGTTCTTCCACCATCTCGGCCTCCTTCTCTCTCCCTCTCGCCATCTCTCTCTCTCTCTCTTTCTCTCTCCCTCTCTCTCGGTATTGCTCTTGCACTCCTCCTCGATCCGTCTGTCGCTGCAGCGGTCTGGCCCGAAAGCAGTGCCTGTCGGGTGAGTCAGCGCTCTGCTCTTTGTAATGCACAGACTGGTGCCCCGACCTTGTGGGCCCGCTCTCGGCCCCCCGGGGCAAGCAAACGGAGCCCCCTGGGCGAAAAGTCGCTGCTTTCTGTGAGTTGTTTCGCCGATGGGGCGCGGGACCCTGGCCTCCCCCCTCCCCCCCCCTCTCTACCGACCAGATCCTGGCTGCTTTCGTCGATTGTTCAGGACCCCTTCCCCCCAGCCTGACTGCGCGACCGGGCGAAGCAGGTCGACGAAGCACCAGCCCAGACCCGGACCCAGACCCCTCCCTCCCACACCCTTCGGCCAGATGCTGGCACCCAAAGCGAATGAACGCCCACAAAGCTGCCCACGGGGACGTGGTCGGGCGCGGGCAATATTTGCATCCATATCCAGTCTGTCTTGGACTCTCTTGGGAGGGGCACCGCGAGGCCGAGGCGCAAGGGATATGGACAAGCATCGAGCCTCCTTAGGGGCCAGATTCTTTCTTATCCATATCCAGTGCGCCTCGGAGTTCTGGGGAAGGGAGCCCGAAACTTCAAGCTGCAGTGGATACAGTGGGGGGGAATGCTAAGAATCACCCTGCTTGCCTCCAGGGTGCCTTGGGTTTCTTGTTTCTTAGGCTTCCATGGTTCTGCGATGGAAAACGTGACGTTCCCACGCCGAGAATCAATGGACGCCCTGGGGTCTCAGGGTTAGGCTCCCTGTGGAAGGCTTCTTGTGGACTGACCTCCGCTGCGTGGACACGAGCCTTGCCCCGCGGGGGCTCCCCGTGGGCGCGGGCTCGCGCGCGCCGCACCGCCGGGCACCGCTGGGCCACCGCGGCTCTCTCCCCCCGCCGGTGGCTCGTGCTCCGGAGGTGCTCCCGCGCCTCCTCCTCCTCGTCGCGACGCTGCGCCGCGCGGGCCCCCGGGCAGACCTCCGGAGGCCCCGCCTGCCGCGTGCGAGTTGGGCTCGTCGAGGCTGAAGGCGGGCCTGTCCCTCTGCAGGGGGGGGGTATCCCAAAACAGTTTCATAACTCGTCTGGGGGCGATCTTTCTGCCATCCTTGTGTCTATTTTGGGGCATCTGTTGACTGTGCTTCCTTTTTGGTCCTCCCACAGGCCGCCTGTGGGGGGACGTGCCCGACCTAAGCCTAGGCCTCTTGCCGTGGCGCGCTCGCGCGCCGCCGGCAGGAGGCGTCGTGCTCACTCCTCGGCCGCTGGCCGCCGCGGCTCCGGGGCGGGGCGCTGCGGCGGCGCCTCTGCGTCTGCCGTGCCCGTGGTCCGGGCCGCCAGGTGCAGCTGGGCCTGTGTGGGCCCCGGAAACGGCAGGGCCGTTTTTTCACCGTTTCCAAAAAAATGTCCCTTAAAAATGGAAGCGGCAAAAAACCGGCGACCGGAAACAGCAAAAAAACGGCTCCAGGATTGGAACCGGAGCCGGAACCGGCCAAAAAACGGCGACGGAACGGGTAAAAAACAGCGTCGGAACCGGCATAAAAACGACAAAACGGAACCGGTAAAAAACGGCCCTGTCGTTTCCAGGGCCTACCAAGAGCTGGGCTCTCTTCTCGTCAGTCGTGGGCTGGTGCCGAGGCTGCTCCCCTCCAGCGTGCTCCCCCCCTTTGGGGCGGCGTGCCCTCTGCGCAGGCCTGCCTGCCCGAGGGGTGCCCCCGCTGTCTCTCGTCAGCTTCTGCCAGTCCTCAGCGTCCGCCGACTCTGTCCAGGCCGTCAGCTGGCACAGTCTGGGGTCGCAGGTCGGCTCCTTCTTGCACCAAGACAAGATCGTACAGGGGCAGATCGGGGATCTCTCTGAGGCCTGGCCGCTCTGGAGGATGCACTGGGCGTCGCGGCCTACCCTTTCTGCAGCTTGTCCGACACCAACTCCGTGGCCGAGCTGGCGCCTAGTGCACAGCGCCGTCTCTTTTGCTTGTCCAGCCAGCGCAGCGGGTGGGACGTGTGCGACTCGACGCCGTTGAACACGACGCAGGTCCCCGCCCGGTGGTGGTCTTCCACACTGCTGGCTGAACTTCTCTCGCATGCTGGTGAACGCCGTCGCCGAGGAGACCGAGTGGTTGCAGCACCTGCACTCCCATCCTCGTCTTCGCCTGGGTCTAACCAGGTCGTGCGTCGTGGGCGGCCTCCTCTTCGCGTCGCTGCTCAAGTAGGCCGCCTTCTGCTTTCTCTGGGCTCGCCGTGCTCGAACTTCCCGTCGCCTCGCTGCCTTCAGGTCGCGGTGTTCTGTCGGCCTCCTGTCGATGGCGTCTTGAGTGCAAGCCGCGATCCTGGCTCTCACCAGGCTTGCCGTTGCCCCCGCCCACTCGTAGCAGCTCAACTGGCTTTCAGGGGCGGCATGCTGCTGCGCGCCTGCGTCGGCGAGGCGTTCAGCCATCTTCTTGCCTTCCCAGGCCTCTCTTGGTATTCCTTTTCCCTCTGCCTCCTCCTCGCTCAGGTGGCTGTTCAGGTGCGACATCTGCACCTGGTCGCGTCCTTCTCCTCGCTGCTCCAGTGCCTTCCACACTCTGCGCCAGAGGTCGCAGTTGGCACCAGCTTTGCCTCGGTCCTCCTCGCGCCTCGCGTGCCAGATGATGCAGGTGACCTCGCTGTCCGTCCAGCAGTGTAGCGCTCCGCTCGTGGACACCATGCAGTTGATGAGCGCCCGCAGCTCCGCTCGGTTGTTGCTTTGCCGAGCTCCTGGAAGTGGCCCGAACTTTGCCGCCTTCTCCTCAAAGCCTCGCGATCGCTCCTGCGTGTCCATGGTTGTCCAGCCCCAGCCGCACCTCCTGTAGCGGTCGTCGTTGCTGTATTCTCCTCCTGAGGCGTCTCCGGTTGCCGTGAGCGCTCAGCCTTTTGGGACTCGGAGACGGCTCCCCGGCTCGGTGGTGTCGCATGGCGGTGGCGCTGTCCAGGCCTTGAACGTGAGCCCTCTCAGCCAGAACGCTGGCACCTCCTCTGCTCCTTTCTCGGCCCTGGCCATGAGCCCCTTCGTCTTGTCCAGGCTATCGTGGTCCCTCCTCGCCGTGCAGTTGCCCCAGCTGCGGAAGTCGTCCTCCGAGACGCACTCGCAGAGGTCGTCGCCGCCTCCGAACTCCTGGCGCTTGCGCTCCTTGGTCCACGTCCCGGCGCAGGCGGCTGCCAGGGGCGCACCGTAGGTTTGGTACATCCCCCGCTGCCTGAGGGACTCCAGGTGTCCCACCATGTCCGTGGTGTGCACTCCTGCCTCTGTGCCCCTACCGTTGTAGTGCTACGCCACTTGCTTCCGCAGCTGCCTCTGCCGGTCCGGCAGCAGCGCGTCTGTGGTGACTGCGGGGTCGCCGTGCCCCTCGTCCTCTGGGAACTTCCGCTGGTTGCCGTCCGTGTCCAGCCAGATGGGCCTCTCGAGACCTAGCCGGGCTCCCGGAGCAGCAGGACGATGCTGTGCACGACGCCCCTGCGCTGCTGCCACCTCCTGTGCTGCTCTGCCCTCAGGAGCCGAAAGTATATCTTCGGCCATGCCTTGCGCGCATGCTCCCCCAGGTCCTGGCTCTTGGTCCAGAGGTCGAACCGCCTTCAGTTGGTTTCTCGTCGTGGAGATCGCGGGGTCTATCCCCTCGAGCGCCAGGGAGTTGGTGATGCACCTGCCAGGCCGAGCCCTCCGCGGGGCCCGGGCGCACCTCCTCCTCGCGATCTTCAGCGCCCATGGCGCTAGCCCGTGCACTGTGGCCCCGTGCATGAGGGAGGCCACGGGTCCCTGGTGGGCGACCCCCCTCCTCCTCTCGTGCTTCAGCTTTCGGAGCCTGCACCAGCCGCGCCGAGCCTTTCGCCCGCACCCCTCGCTCTCTCCGCGCGTGCAGGGCGGTGTGTGGTGCCTCGGGCGGCGGCGCGGTGGCAGCCGAGGCCTCGCCCTTCCGTGACCGCTTTGACCTTCACCCCGCGCCGGCTGAGCCGGCGCTTCACGGCCTGTGTGATGCTGAAGTCCGTGGGGGAGGTGAGCGTTGTGTCCACCAGGTCGAGCCCGTGCCTCGTGGGCCCCTGCTCGAGGCTGCTGGTGGCCACGGCGAGCTGCTCCGGCACCGCCTCCTTGCTGCCGACTGTCCCGAGGCCTGATGCCGATGTCGTCGAACCACGCCCGCGGCATCGGCTTGGGTAGCGCTGTTGCTGCGTCGATCATGTGCCCGAGGGCTGCGCACCGTCTTGGCTGCGTTGCTGGATTGCCTCGAGCCTGCCAGGATTGACCTGTCCGCTAGCATCGGCTCCGAGCACGAGCTCTTGCACCTCAGGATGTGCGCGCCCGAGTGCTGGAGCAGCAGCATCACGAGCAGGCGCGGGCTGAAGTTCACCTTGAGCGCCTCGGGGATCGGCGCTCTATGTCCGCCAACGCGCAGCCCTGGAAGATGTCGAGCTCGTCGCAGCACTCGTCTGAGACTATCCTTCTCATCGCCTCACGTTTGCAACTGTTGTCTGCCACTGCCGCGTACCAGTCGTGCTCCTGCTCTTTTG